CTGATTGTCCATCAAATCGATGGCCAGCGGCGAAGAAGTCGTAACAAAAGTAAGGCGAAGGGCAGGTCTAAGAGCGATCTCTGTCACCAGAAAGAGGCCGAAAAATGTATGAATAAAATGGTAGAGTTGGGCAAAGGGAAGGACCCGACGGCTATCATCGCATCGGAGGCCGGACTCAACCGTATTTGCAAGTCTGAGATCTCATTTGAATTATTCAATGCATTTCTTAAAGTGTTTTCATAACTTATATAACTGTATAAAATTTGTATTTGTTTTGCAGAACTATAAAAGACGATACATTGAAATGTCTGAAGGGATACTTCAAGAAGTGTGGGACACCTCTTCATCGGGAGATAAGTGACCTAATCATCGATCAAATAGATTTCAGAATCAAGCGATTCTGTGACGACAAAGAGAGAAAGTCAAGTGAGTTGTCGTTTATTTGAATATCGAATATATTTATTGCAAATTATTATATTAATTGTATTTGTGTTGCGATATAAAAATATTGCAAAATATCGTCAAAAATGAATTTTAAATATTCATAAAATTAGAGGAAAGCGTTTGCTCTCATTTCGTATTCATTAGTGTATTTGTTGTGCAAAAAACGGTAATTATTTGCATTTCTATGAATTTTAAACAAATTTCTTAAACAATACCTTTTGAATGAAAGCTTTATATAATTTTTTTGTCGCTTTCGTATATTTATGAAAACTCTGTGGGATTTAAGCAATGCCTACAAAATTAATTAATATTTAATTAAATAACATTATGCTCATTTATGTAATATACCATATTAATATTTGTCCATTCAATGTTTGAATAATAAATTATAATAATTTTGTTGTCGGTTGAAAGGCTAGCTATAATGTTATGCAAAATATCCATTCAATAGTTTTGTATTTCACATAATTTATTATTTAATCGTTTTTGCAATTTTAATTATTTTGCGCAAAATAGTTAATAGTTAGTGTTTATGTTTTGGTTGTCCTTAAGCCAGTAAACTATATTAATATTTCTAGTTTAATTATAACACGACATCATTGTTATATTCAGTAATTGAATTATGTTGTTCATGAAAATTAAAATGGTAAAATTCCTAGCCGTAATGCTTTTAGATATTTACTGATTATAAAGTAATATTTACTTTATTTTTAGCAGTAATTCTGTAGAAAAATCGATGAAATATACAAAAATAAGTTTTAATACTGTTTACATGAGTTAAGAATAGACCTAAAAACCATTAAACTTGGCATTTAGAGTACGAAAAGTGATATAAATGTGATGTTAAAGCTATTTATATAACAAATTATTGATACATTTGTATTTCCAAACAGCTTTCCTGACACAATCGCCTTGTTTTCACGCAAAGGTCTTCAGCACATCTGAACACAAATCTCAATGTAATAATAAATTTCTGTCGCGAGTGAACCAAATCGAGACCTCCAAAGTAAACGTGGATGAGATTCACTCGACTCTGTGCTGCGGTTACAACATATGGGACAACTGCACCACATCTATGGTGACCGACCGGTGCGGCGCGAAGGGTCAGCAGGTGTTCAAGTCGTTCCTGAACGACAACTTCGGTCTCATCACGAATATGATGTGTCCGTTGGATCTCTTCCAGACTGACTCCACGGTCTGCACGAAAGTCAAGGCTAAGACCGCCAAAGGGAAGGCCAAACTCGGAGACAACGCTATCTCGAAATACATCTTAAGTCTCTTCTCCTTCCTATTCGTGTCCGAAGAATAGGGTTTTATTTCAGTGTTTTGTTTGTTTTGCTGAATGTCTCAGACATAACACATTATATGATGTATTCTTGATATCACTTTTTTGTTTTTCTATAATATTGCACAACAACTTATGAAATGGTTTTTACGTAATTTTAAATATATTTCTTTTTTAATATAAGGCATATATTCTTGTGCTTTGTATAATGATTTGCGCCAATAATTTATAAAAATTTATAAAACATTTTTATGTATTGATATTAAAATCAATAAAATGAATAATCTTAACATAATTTACAATGTATTTTATTAGACATTTATGAGAATATTTGCATATTAATTACAAAATAACAATAATTCATTAAGAATTTTTTTCAGAATTGCAAAACCAATTATTTAATAAATTTAAAAGTTATGATTAATTAAACATTCTACATGTTACATTGGGTATAACAGTGTTGTTGTTTGGGTATACAGGAATATTAATTTCAAAAATAAATGGTATTTTAAAATTTAATTTATAAACAATAGTAATAAGTAAAAGTGATATTAAAATATAAATTAGAAAAATAAAATATTCTATTTATTTTAATAATTATTGATATAATTAGCAAAAATTAATGCTTTATATACACGAAATTATATCATTAAAAATCTTATTATTATTGTTAGAAATAATTTGATAAAAATTTCTGTAAAAGAAATTCTTGATTTAATAGAGGTTTTGCTTCAAAAGTTACTTGAATTTAAGTTGTATTAAAGATCTTATTAAAATATAATTTAAAATGAATTTATTGAAACCTTTAACCAATATATCAGATATCGAGTCCTATTTGAATGCTCTGTTCATATTGTCGACCAGTTTTGCTAACTATTCAAATAAGAAAATTGTTTCGTTTAATAAAAGTTTATTTATAAATATAATCAATGCATTCATATTTCTCACATCAGTTAAACATCTGTCGTTAGCTTTCATAAGTAATCCTAATTATTGGATATCGATTGGAGATCCGCTTTATTTAACAAAAGATCGGGAAATTTACAACTTTTGCATCGGATGTGCGTTTATGGCCGCCTTTGCCATGAGATTTGTGTTATATTGCGGCGAAAGAGCCCACAGTTTGTATTTTATCGAAAGCCTTAATTGTATTAAATGTCAATCAAATCACGAATTAAGTGCCAAAAATCTGGAAAAATTTAATTTGTTTTCAAAATATTTTGTTCCCTTCTTTATATTAATTTTATCCAATATATGCTTCATATGTCCGACACTTGCTTTCAGTTTTTTCGTATACTTAGCTTACATACAAAATGATTACGATTACAATACAATTGTGTTACTCGTATCTAACATTAATTTCGTAGTTGCCGTGCATTTTGTGGCCAAAAGTATTATAACAATTCTTGGTATTGAAATATTATCTATCATTTATCTCAGATTATTGTTTCGACAAATCAATGAAAAAGCAAAAGAGTGGCTAAAATTGCATGTCTTTCACATGAAAATACTGACCGAACACAACAAAGTGTCCATAAAATGCATTCAATATAACCAAGTGTTTAGTTATATAGTGGGAGCCGTTTACGCATTCCTCACACCATTTATAGTGGCATTGATTTACATGTCTTTCATGGGACGGACATTCATGATGGTCAGAATTATATTGGGTTTTGTAGCTATCGCCGCTATTAATATCATTTATTTAACCGTTTATATCACTGGATACCTGTCTAAAGAAGTATTATATCATTAATTCATAAAATATATTAAAATATTAATTAAAAAATTTAATGTTAAACTTGTATTGTTAAACAATAATTCACAGACCATTGGTCTCTACACTAAAATGAATGCATATTTATGTCAAATCAACTCAAGTGTTCAAACGAAACGATATCAATGGAGGGTAAGAAATTATTTTATATTGTTTTCTACTTTTATCAATTATTTAATTATTTAACAATTATTTAAACAACTAGTCATATCTATTTTCATATAAAATGCATTGCATTTACAGCTCATTCAGTTTGTGGAGCATTTAGCCGGCGATAGGATTGGCATATATTGTTTAGATTTGTTCAAAATCACCAACGAGAAATTTGTGCGGGTAATATATTCTCATATCAATATCAATGTTAATTGAATTATATCGTTGTTTTTCATTCATACCACATATTAATTATTTAAATGAATGTTTGCAAAACTTGACACAATTCAATATAAGGCTAATTAATAATGTATTAATAAATTTGTATTGCAGTACGTGTTGTATTCAATTCAATTGTTTCTACTTTTGTTGGGATTTGTATTGAAAACAAATGGGTTTGAAAAATACGAATTGGCACTGAATTGATCATTATAATTAATTAGTTTTATATCAGTATAAACAATATAATTGTAATTATAAACAATATTAATTGTTTTGTGAAATATTAAACATAAGCATATAACTTCTAAATCTAGGTCTAAATGTATAATAAACTTTAATTTTAGTTTATTTTATAATAAAAATTATTAATTTTTATTTTATGTTTGATATCTATAAATAAAATATTTAATTAATAATCAATTAACAATTATTTAATTGTCTAATTGTTATAAATAGCAGTTAATAATCTAATCTAAAATTATCTAAAATCAAATCTAAAATTATAAAAATACTCATTAATTATTACATTATTTAAATGCTTTTGTAATGAATAAAATAAACGAAAACATTAATTTTATTTTTACAATATATAAAATCTTATTACTCGTTACTATACTTATTATTATAAATCAATTTTGTAATCGTTTTCTACTGTAATTAACTAAAAATCAATAATAATTCTAACAAGGTAATACAGTATATTAAATATTTAGCATATCCAAACTGTTCTTTATGCAGATTCTTGTAATTACAAAATATTACAAACTTTTAAAGTTATCGCCAATTGTTATACTTTATTAAACATCACGTATATATTGTATGAGTGATGTCTTACAATGAATTTAGTATTGTTTAATAAAAAACAAACAATAATAATAGTTAACCAAACTTAAATAACAAACATGATCAAATTAAAGGATAAATGATCAAGATTTATTGAATTTACACAATCCATAAGTACAGTGTAATGTTAAATGAATTGTTGCGCAAAAGTTCAAAGCTTGTAAAAACAAAAAACGCCACAATCCATTTATTGCCATAACTAACTATTTATTATTTGGCTGTTTTAATACCAGACTTATACTCATTTATACATTAAAAAGGCCAAATATTTTATACCATAAATGTTTAGTTACAACAATATGGTTAAAATATGAATATAATGACGTACTTTATGACGAAAATATATTAATTTAGTTGATAACATAATAATAGGTGAGAATTGGTATGTTTTCATACAATAACTTACAATGCAATCAACTAATGGATAGTTAGCATAAAAGGGCCCAAAGAGTGTGTGTGTTGTGCAGTGCGTCGACTCAGTGGAGGCATTGATCGCAAGGCTTTGGGTTTGAAATTCATTTGAAGAGTAAAAAGAGTGCAAAACATTTGGTGTTTGTTTTGTTCGCAAAACAACATTAGGTTTGACACCAATCAAAACGCCATCACTTTTTTTGGGGCCACTATTTCTTTGGCCGCGATTTGTTTTGGCCAACGAATGCCGTTTCGGGGCCTCTGTTTTGGGCCACACTTTCCTCGCATTCATCGCTGTCTCTAATGTTTAACAATGTTTTAATTGCGAGTCATTTAAAGTTTGTTTTGATTAGCCTTTCAAACGATTGTTGTGTTTATGTAAACGAGACGTGAATTGAATGCAAAGTTTGTGTTGATTTTGATCACAAAAACACGTGATATGTTATGTAATTGCGATTATAATTAGTTAATAATGTTTATAAAGAGTTAATAATAGTTATAATAATAAATTAAATGCCAAAAGCATTGATTGAGTTGTTATTTAATATGATGTGAAATGCAATGAGAAATAGCGATGAAATTAATTCAGATATTATTTTACGTGATTTTGTTAATGGTTTTGATACCAGTGCTGACGATATACCTCTTCGAGAGTCAGACCACTGGCGGTGATCACCACTTGTTGGCC